ACTAAGGTATTACACTGAGCTCATCACATTCCGAAGATTCTGTAGGCAGGGCTAGAGTTAAGTTTTTGCATACGTACACTATGGGCCCATAGTTCAGCTATCTCTGCTTTCACTGGTATACAGTGGGCATCCAACACTCAATTATACTGTCCTTCAAGCTGCAACTTGCTTGAAACCTACCTAAGGGATTGTTTGTGGAGTGGGATTGCCCATTGGTGTTGGACTTGTTTGCATCAGATGCCTTCAATCAAAGTGGCCCCCTGTGGTACCTCTCACTGAAAACTGCTTTACTGGTGGCAATTACATCAACCGGAAGAGTGTCCATATTAGAGGACCTGGGGTTTAAAGAGCCCTCTCTTACATTTATGCCGGATAGGGTGGTACTTATGCTGATGCTCAAGATCATGGCTGTGTCCTTCAGTCTATATCACACAAAAAGTTGTCCTTGCTATGTCCCTCTTGGGGAGTACCCAAGAAGTTAGCCTATCAGATGTTGGTCAAGCTTTAAAAATGTTACATCAAGGTAACATCTGGCAACAGGAACACAGGCAACAGGCAGTCAGAGCACTTGTTTGTTATACCAGGTAGAACGTGTAATGATTTCACAGCTTCCACCAAGATTATTGCCTCCTGGTTAGTGAAGCTTGAAAGGGTTGGCTATGCCAGGGGGATAACTTCACTTATCCCTTTCATCCTACTCATACAGTACACAGTAAATCAGAGGGGTGGGACGCAACAAGTAAAACCGAATAGTGACAACAGGCTCAACAAAAACCAAACAAGTGTCAAGGACCCAACTCAAATTGCAGGTAAAAGGCTGAATCCAATGAAGCCTGGACACTCACCTGGTAGAACCTGGAGAAGGAACAAACTGAAGACCAGGTGGTGGCCTTACAAAGCAAGGCAACAGCAGCTTGATGATGAAAGACCAGGAACGGATTTGGTGGCATGAACATGTACAAGTACCTCATCTTTAAGAGCATAAGCCTTCACAATGAGATGTCTTATCCCCAGCTAGCAATGGTGGACTTAGAAGCAGGATGAAGCCTTGATGAGACCCTGTCAGCACTACTAAAGACCATGTTTTTCAAACAGAAGCTGTGGTTGTCAGACCCTGATAGCTCTGATTACATTCAAACACTGGAGAGCAACCTCTTTGCAATGTTTGGAGTGGGGCACAAAGAAGGAACGACAATGTCCTCATAAGGTGGAAGGCTGAGACCACCTTGAGTAGAAAAGAAGAGTCTTGGACACAAGATCACTTTTATCCTTGTGAAGAATCAGGAAAGGCTCTGCATGATAGAGCTGCAAACTCAGAAACACATCTGACAGATGCGATAGTCACAAAGAAGATTGAACTTAAAAAAATTCCCCAACGGGTTCAAAGGATGGCTTCTGCAGGGCAGGGAGAACCAAACTGAGATCCCAAAGAAGCACAGCGCTGTTTTTTGGGGGACCAATCCATGAGAAACCTTGCAGAAAATAATCTCTCCTCCCCCAAACTTCACTTGGCACAATGCAGTCAGGCAAACACCGTTCACCTGGCAACCGCCAAACCAAGACACATACATCAGAATGCCAAACAAGTGTGATTCGTCACTCCAGAGAACACATCTCCCCTGTTCTAGAGTCCAGTGGCGGTGTGCTTTACACCACTGCATCTGACGCTTTACATTGCACTTGGTGATGCAAGGTTTGGATGCAGCTGCTTGGCCATGGAAACCCATTCCATGAAGCTCTCTATGCACTGTTGTGCAAATCTGATGGCCACACGAAGTTTGGAGGTCTTTAGCTAATGATTCTGCAGACAGTTGGCGACTTCTGCGCACTTCATGTGCTGACCCCGCTCTGTCATTTTACGTGGCCTACCACTTCTTGGTGAAGTTGCTGTTGTTCCCAGTTGCTTCCAGTTTGTTATATACCACTAACAGTTGACTGTGGAATATTTAGTGGAAGGAAATTTGACGGATGGACTGATTGCACAGGTGGCAACCTATCACGGTACCACACACTTGAATTCACGGAGCTCTTGAGGAGTGACCCATTCTTTTACAAATGTTTGTAGAAGCAGTCTAAATGCCAAGGTGCTTGATATTATACACCTGTGGCCATGGAGGTGATTGGAACACCTGAATCCAATAATCTGGAGGGGTGTCCCAATACTTTTGGCAACACAAAAGTATTTAGAATGGAAGACAGTCTGTAAGTACAGGATCCTGTTGACTGTTCCTATCCCTATCTCGGGTTCAGCAATTAGTCGATTGCGCTTGACCTTGGGCAGCTGACAGGTCGATTGGGAACACAGGTCTGCACACAGTCCTTCCCTCAGCCTCCACCGCTCTTCTCTTCACTGCAAAGCAGAGAGCGGGAAGAGGCACAGTCCTTGAGGGTGGGAGCTGCTGGAGGTAACTTTTCACATTAACCAGCAGGTGATTGGTTGCTAGGACTGCCCAGCAAGCAGCTTGTTAATGTATAAAGTTAACGCCTGCAGCTCCCGCCCACAGCCTCTATCCAGTACTGTCAATACTTCCTGCTTGCCACTCTGCTACACCTGTGGGTGGAAAGATTTTTTTTTTTTTTTTTTTTTTTTTTTTAAGGGTTCCAACCCATTGTGCATTGTTTAAGGTCACACAGCACATAACCCAATGCCTCAAGGTTACTTCAAGACAAACCTCACAGGCAAGCTAGCCTGAGGAAAGGCTGCAATCTTACAGATTCAAGCAGCAATAAGTAGAAGAATCTGGATTGAAATAAAAAGGAAAGCATTGAAGAAAAAAAAAAAAAAAAAAAAAAAAAAAAAAAAAATTATATATATATATATATATATATATATATATATATATATATATATATATATATATATATATATATATATATATATATATATATATATATATATATCTCTTAGCAATAAATTAGGGTAGGATTTTTTTCAGCATTCATTTTCCTAGCACACTAGCTAAAAACTGAGGTATGCTCATTGCAAGAGGGTTATCGTGGACTGGCCTACAGATTATTTTTTCAAGTCTACAAGACTTCCCATGCCCCTCAATTAGGAATTAAAACCGTTTTGGTGTATTTATCCATTTGCCAGTTCTACACTATTAGACAACAGCTCAGTTTTCCTTCAAATCCATAAAAGCAGACTACCTCAACCAGTTATCTGCAGGAAATTGGGTAAATATATTCTGGTATAGCCCTTCCTACAGATACAGTAGCTGTCATTTTCCAAGGCTGATCACACATCTGATTAGTTACTTTGGCATAAAAATTACATAACCAATAGCAGCCACTCAGAAGTCATCTTTCATTTAAGTGGCACTAGAAAAATGACTCCAAGAAAATGAAATAACCAAGCCGGATGTAAATTATCTAGATACAGGTACTTTATTTACAAATATTTAGATTAATAGCATTTTGTTACATCGAGGGAAAAAGTACAGCAGTCCAGGTTGTTCCTTTAGTCACAGAAACGAGCAGATGACCTACTGTAACTTAAGGAGACGTGGGGGGAGGGTTCGGGGCACGGTCTGTGTCAAAATTCTCAGCGAGTAATTTGTGGTCCCTGCACAGTAATGGATAACCCACTAACCTGCCAACTAAAGGAAAACACCTCAAGAAAGATGCAGAAGGGAAAACCAAATTTTCTGAAGATTTTACAAGGGTACAAAAGGATATGATAATATTCCAGTTTTCACCTCTCAGCTTGTCTTTAGCAAAGAATTATGCCTGTTAGATAACCATGTTCGACGACACGATTGCCACCTTCGCCTCTGCACATAAAGATGGGACAACGGCTGTCTCTTTTACCGTGGTTGGTCTATTATAAAATGGCTAATAACATTGGCCAAAACTGTTGTGAAAGGTGCCGACCGCTGATTATGTCCCACGTCTGAAATAAAATGCATGTTTTACGTATTTAAAAACCATCCCACTGTAGTGTTTAAAAATGCACAAAAAAAGTTAATCCTAAAAAGCAGCAGAACTGTAATCCAGACTCCAAAAATATTAAAAGAAAATAAAGCATAATATGTGCAATAGTTAAACCAGCCTTCTCATTAAATCTCTATACATCGTAAGGCAGGCAATACACAGCTGTTATACGCAAAAGATCGACTCAAAGAAAAAAAAAAAAAGTCAGCACACTGCTCATTCCACAATGGGATTTTCTAAAACCGCTTTGTATAAGCCACAGTGCAAAAAAGGTTCAAAAAGAGGGCGGAGCCAAGCATTATCTAAAAGTAATTTACACCTACTGCACTATGCGGGGAGGAAGGAAGTGATGTGGTCACAAACTGTACAAACTGATATTTCCTGACACACTAATGCCAGAATTAATTTTTTGTACACAGAATGTATCTCGATGATCTGGTTCCTTTTTTTTTTTTTTTTTTTTTTTTAGTATTTTTTTTTTTTTTTTAATTTACGAGTTAAATGTGAGGAGTAAAATTTAGAAAACACGAGAGGAAGGTAATGGGACACGACAGGGGAAAACAAACACCAGAATCATTTGTAAAATTAAGACGAAATTCAGTGTAGAAACCCTCTTTCTTCCAGATGAGCAAAAAGAAATTGAAAACAGAAGATGGGTAGAGATTCCCCTTATTGACATTCACAGCCAATGAGCCTATTCTAGAAAAAATTAAAACTATGAGACCTGGATGAATCCAGTTCAGCTCTTCTAGAGAAACTCTGGATTGCCAACATCACAAAGACGATTAGGAGAAGAAAAAGTTCTATATTTATAACATGCAGGAAGGATTGGTTTGTGTGTGTTTTATTACTTGACTTTCCTTTGATAATCTGGATACATCTAGAGTTATGTAGCAGTTTAGTATTGTGTTAAACTGTCGCCTCAGTGGAGTTCCCCCCCCCCCCCCCCCCCCCCCCCCAACCTTTTCATGAAACCAGTACGGTGTACAGGGCAGCAAAAAAAAAATACTGCGCGAGACAGACGAGGAGGGAAGGTCAGAAAGAAGGTGGCCCTCACAGACAGGTCACTAGCAGCCACAGCCTTCTCTCTGAGGTTGGGGTTCACTGGTTAGACGGCCTCCTTGAGGTGCTGATGGTTTATGCTGTACACCAGACTCCGCAGCATTCAGATCTAGGCTTCCATCTTGTATGTTTTGGTAAATTTTCTTGGCGGCTTCCAGAAAAGCATCTTCCACATTCTCTCCTCTGCAGGAAGAAAAAAAAATGCAGTCATTGGTAGAAACTAGTGAGTGGTGTCAAACTCAACCCAGTCACATTTCTGTCCTATGGTTAACAAGTGACTGTAGTCATTTGCCTTTACAGTATTCTTTAAACACAGACACAAGGCTACAAAAGAGGTATTACTGGTTCAGGGAAAAAAAAAAAAATATTATAATAATAATAATAATAATAATAATAATCCACATTTCAGCCATGGACCCATCATCTAAAGCCTATCAGTTAAAGGCTGCAATTGTCATTTTGTCTTTCACTCATATCAACTGTTTGAGGCTCAAAAATAAAGTTGCAGGACAATGTATCTGCTCATATTAAACCACTTCCTACCAGGCGTATTTCAAAATGATGGCTGGGCAGGACTTGCCTCATTCTTCCCCCCAGAATGCGCCTTGCATTCATTTGGGTACAGTGTTGCATGACCGCACAAATGTCATTCAAACTGCAACAGCACTGAAATCTGATAACTGGCCTGGGCAGGAAGGAGTTGAAAGTGGCAGGTATTGAAGTGGTTAATGATCATCACAATAAGATCAATCCAGCAATATCTCTATTGAAAGCACATTAACCAGTTTGAAGAGATTAATCTTTGTTTAAATTCTTGCCTTAAACTGTCCAAAATGCATTGCTGTCCAAGGGAGGAAGCAGAGAAGGAACTTGACTTTAAGCTGTAAAGTTTTATTTTTCATTATCATGCCAGGCTTAACATTTTGAAAAGTTTATACATTCTAGCTGTCTGGCTTTGTGCCAGAACAAAAGTGCAGTGAAGTCAGACTCCTGATGTGCTTACTTGACCAAGGTCAGTGACTCCAAGTACTGAGGCCAGAACTTGTAAGTTACATCAGTTACTCCAGGCTCAGTGCCTTCCCTGCTCACCATAACATCCATGGTTTGGCACTTAGTGTTTTAGAAAGGAAAAAAAAAAAAAAAAAAAAAAAAAAAAAAGTACTCCTGGCAAAAAGCTGCTTTATATATCTTCTCAAATGCTAAGAACTGTTCAGGGAAAGGCAGCATTTCTTTTTGTCACTTACGTTTTTGCACTTGCTTCCAGGAACAGGAGTCCTGCAGAAGACAAGAGAGACCCACATATTAGGCAAGTCCCATAAGAGACATCAAATCTGGAATGTAAAAATGAGAATCTGAAAAAGCTGGTTCAGATGTGAAGTTTGAGTCACATACCATTCTCCTCAGCAAACTGCTTGGCCTCCTCATATGTGACATCACGCTGGGCCTCCAGGTCCGCTTTATTGCCTATTAGAATGATTACCTGCAGAGGGGAACAAAAGACATTACTAAATGGAACCAATATTAGGACACCCAACCTAGCCCGACTTCCAATTTCACTGGAAGACCCAACATCCAGCTTCACCAAGACCCTCTACCTAGAACCAGACTAACATCCAGAGCAAAGAAACATTAGGCCTAAACTTGGCCCGATACCTGTGGCAAGACATAATATTCAACTCCACCTACAGACCAGGCTCAGACTATGACCAACAACCAATTCTTGTCAAAAATTGAACTCTAAGATTAAACGTCAGCACAGCCTAAACTAGCCCTAGAAAATCAAACTTCAGTTAGAGACCATGTCTAAATTATGAGGACATCTGTACTATGGCCTAGTGCCCAACCAGCTTTGAGGACTGTTGACATGCTAAATCCAAGTTACCATCTTGTCATTTTATACAGCAAAAATTTTTTTTACAACTTACTGTGTTTGGATTGGTGAGGTTCCGTGCATCAGTCAACCAGCTGCTTAAATGATTATATGTGCTTCTCCTAGAAGAGAAACCAGAACAGTTCTGGTGAATGACTTCATAATTTGGCTGCCAAATTTCCTTCTCCACATACCAAATGAAGTCCAAAATACAGACCTCCAACCCAACCAGGCTAAAACATTTTTTGTAGATTTATGAAGGGGCCTCTCTCATCTCATCACTGCTAACCTACCAAAAAGGTTCTGAAACAAAAAAACAAACTCCAGTGCCCTTCATTTTGGAAAAATGCTTTCCTAAGATTGTACTGGGGGTTAAAATGTAACCACTGTCTTTTTCTCTAAACTCAAAAATCATGCAATTTTTTTGCCATTAGATAAAGGCAGTCTTTGTTAACCACATTAGTCCCAACTGGCAGTGGGGATCAGTGGGTCCTAGCAGGGGCAAGCACTCAAACTGCCGGCTGCCAGTGACAGCCAGCATCCAGCGCTAGGAGCACTTTGTGAAAGTAAACATAGCACTTCCATTCTGGGTTTACATTAGAAGTGTGAGGAAATCACAGCACTCGCATCTACTGCTGCAAAGCTGCATTGGGGAGGGTTGGACATCTGGATTAGATCTCCACTGATGAGATTTAGACCGCCAAGAAGAAAAAGTGGGGGGAAAAAAAAAAAAAAAAAAAAAAAAGCTATGTAACCCAATATAATATATGGTTTCTGGGGTCTTGCCCCTCCTTAGTCACTGTAAATGCAATTTGGTGCTAAAAATCTGACATTTCAGTTTCCAGCCAGAATGCACTCCCCTGCCATGTTCCCACCAAAGGATTAAAGGCATACTTGTGTGGTGTTCCCATGTATAGAAGCAGTAGTATAAAGTATTTATCACATCATTATCTACTTATATACATAACTGAAAAAACCTAGAAAAAATGTATTTTAATTTTTTTGTTTTAATTTCAAGTAACTAATATAAAATGAATACGAAATGTTCAAAACAATGACAAATCTCACATTTCCATCGGTTTCCTGTTGAAAATATATTGAAAGACCCCCCAAAAATTGTACAATTTTCAAGGACAGGGCCTTATGTGAGTGAGAAAAAAAGCTTTGTAAATAAAAAAACTTATACACACCATGGTTTCTACAATATATATATTTTCTCCATAACTTGGGAAAAAAAAAAAACAGGCAAATTTGGTGTTGATTCCAGACAAAATTACATTTCTTTTTTCTGGAAATAAAACGCTGTGCCTCATCTTTTACTTTATGTGGTTGAAATTAGCAGATCACTTTTTTCAAAAATGTTCATTTTTTTTTATTGGGGAAAAAAAAAAAAAAAAGTATATAATTTAAAGCATGATATCAAAAAGGAGAGTACTTTCTGTCCCCCTAAAAACACCAAGATTGGCTAGGTTGACTGCAATGCACCAATTGTAAGACCTATCACAATACCTGAGAAAGCACAAAGACTCAATGGGGTTTACACACAGGTTACAGGTGCTGGGACTCAAGTAGTTAAAGCAGACCTTTACCCGGCAGATCCCTGGATTCCCTTCTCCATTCTGCAATGTAAATCATTACTAAAATGTATTTTGTTCAGGGCTGCCTTTGCCACCATTCCTGCCTAGGCGAGAATGACATGCCCCTGCTCCCTCTGGTGTATCCTAGTTATATATCCCAGGAGGACAGAAGGTGTACAAAGACTACTATAGTCAGGAGTTTAGGCTGAAGCCGTATTTTCATTTTTCTGTGGTGTGCGGCACTGCCAAAATTTGTCTTCAGATTTGCTCCTGCTAGTTGATTGAACCCAAAAGTGGCAGCCATCTTCTAATTATCGATTAGCTGAATTGAGGACAACCCCAGCAGAACAAGCAAGGAGGTAGGGATAGAAGGAGAAAAAAAAAAAAAAAAAAAAAAAAAAAGGGGGGGGGGGGGGGGGGGGGAGAATGGGAGCGAGTGAAATTCCTCTTCCAGGGACCTTTCTCACTCCAGATGTCAAGATGTAAACCAGAGAATGGGCAATGAGCATTAAAAATGGAGAAATTGAAATATGTTGCACCCCAAATGATTGAACTCCCTTATATTACTTCTAATTAAAAGAAGAAAAAAAAAGTTTCCATTTTCTGAACCTTCCCTTAGTCTTCAGTCCTCTATATTTGAATCCTATAAATAACTTATGACGGCCTATTTGAATAACTTTTCCAACTAGAAAACATTTTGATTTTAAAACAAGACTAACACAGGGTGGCCAAATGAATGAAGAATTTATGATCCAGTCAGTTAAATCTAGAAGCTAGTAAACGAATTACATTTCAAAAACGACTCTGTTGTCAATAAAAGATACATTTCAGGCCAAAAAGCATTAGTCATTAACGAATGTCTAGCAAATAATCAGCATTGTCATTTCAATCACACTGATGTTCTGCCGAATAAAACAAAAAGAAAGCTCCAGTAGTAATGTATATCCTGAATCCTGTGCTGTGTAATTTTAGTACTGATATATTTGCTTAATTTTTCAATTTTAAGTTCTGCCCTTTAAGACCACTACCTCCTGATTTTGTCCAGCCCATGTTTTACAGGTAATATAAACACTATAATAAACCAGGGCTTGACAAATCCCAGGCACCAGGTCGCCACAGAGACTAGAAATTGCATTCTGGTGCCTGAGTTCACACAATGCCTCCCCACCCAGTTACTTCCGTGCAAAAACGCCTCCCACTGACTGCCACGCAAATGTTGCATTGCAAATCGCATCACATGAAGATTGTCGCCCTAAAGTTGCCTTGCACGAGGCGCTGACAACCCATGCTATGCTTAAAAAAAAAAAAAAAATTAAAAATGACTCCTAACTTTTTTTAGCTGGCTCCTAGATTCAAAGTAAATGTGTCAAGCCCTGTAATAATGCATAGAATACATTTATCTGATAGCAGTACAAGACACAAATGTTTCATGAAACATGTTAGATTAAAACCTTACCTTGTTATATCATAAACCATTAGTGCCCCTGCAGCCCCTCGGTAGTAGCTTCTAGTGACTGCTCGAAAACGCTCCTGTCCCGCTGTATCCCAAATCTGCAATTTAATTTTCTGGCCACTAACTTCAATTATCCGGGTACCGAACTCCACACCAATTGTATGAGGACAATCTGCCATAACTGAGGAGAGAAAAGAGCGAGATAAGTCATCCTGCGACCAAATCTTACAAAGACTGCAGGCCATCCTGCCCCAATTATGGCACAGTAAAAGCACTTCCTAACTGAACCCAGAACTTGACAATCAAATGATGGGACACTGCAACGATACAATATTGTTGTACATTAAAATCCATTTCTTGCAGTTCATTGATGGACAGGAGAAAATATTGATAGAATATAATGTCAGACAGAATTGGGAAAAAAAAAAAAAAAAAAAAAAAAAAACTTGTCAACCGGCCTAGTAAAAAACTTCTACTCCCAGAATACCTCAGTTTTGTTGAAAAGCAGTACCAACAAAATAAGGGTGCCCTCGATCTCCAAAAATGGATTTTATGGCAAGTACAAAACTCCTATTTTCCTTTCTTGTTCATTGAAGGACACAGGCATTTATTTATGATGGACGCTCTAAAAGCAGTGAGTGTTGGGAAAAAGCAAGAACACACTAACAGGCACAAGCAAAAACATACTGTGGATAGAGTGTGCAGCTCAGTATGCCCAAGGTATACACCTTGCAAGTAGACCTCCTAGCTTTCAGCATTTTGGGGATCGGTGATTCAGAAATGCCTCTACTCTCAGGAACTGGACTTCAATTGCAATAGGCATGCCATTAAACCCAGGGGACTGTGAAGCAGAAAAGTACATGGGTTCTTTAGACAAAAAGATCAGTACGATCTAGAAGAGACCACGAGGCACCAGCCAGGAGTCCTACATATGCCTAGACCAGTCTGACACAATGAGGTTCACTGGAAAACCCTCCCTCTTGATCCTGCAAAGCAGGAGAGGAAGGGGTTTCAGTGAAGGAACAGTCAGACAGCACTGATCCCATGGAGCCACTGCACTTTGAGACCAGACTAACCAGTTTGCTAATGAACCTGGCAGGTAGAAGGTCCACAAGTGTTCCTCACCTATGAACACAAATCCAGGTACACCCTTGGGTGTAGAGGCCATTCTCCCATATCCAATGTCAGCTAAGAGTCTTTCCTGCTAATTGTCCACTTTTGTGATAGAAACAGTGGACAAAGCTGGAATATGCAGTTCCACCCAGGACAGGATTCTTGCAACCTCTCTTGTTACAGAGAGACCTCCGATTCCTCCCTGACTGATGTATGCCACTGCTGCAGCATTATAGTTGATTGTCCATGCAGTGTTTAAAAAATTAATAAGAAACAAGTGTTTGTATTTTTTGATAAAGGAGTTATGTGAATAAGTTATGCCAGAGGCTGATCTCCCATGCGCATTAGCAACAGACGAGTCAAACTGATGTCAAAATTCACTTAACAGAGGTCATTTCCAAAAGATGTGAACCAAAAGTACTTTTATAGCATCTGATTCTCCAGCATAGAGGACAGCTCTGAGGATACATGTGGTGTAGGGGCAGGGGTATTCTACCAGCCCAGGGAAGAGTTTGTAAACAACTTGTTGAAATTTGTTACAAACTGAGGATTTATGGGCTAGCAAGAGGGTACAATAAATTTGATTTTGGGGGGGGAAAAAAAAAAAAAAAAAAAAAAAAAACAGTCCAGCTCTTTCTCCCATTTCCTGATGAAAGAGGAAAGTGTATTGGCCCCCCATCTTCGTTAGGATAGTGTGAGAGGAGGATAAAGTGTCTGATTTGTGCATCCACCAGCCACTTTTTAATAAAAATACCTGCTGGAATAGAGAGAACGTAATGAGTTGGATGCAGATCTTGATGTGTGGTATATTTTTCACCAAAGTTGGATCTCAAAGTGACACTAAACTCTAGTTTAAAAATAAATAAAATGACAAATTACATATATATATCCCTACTCATGATCTCAGCCTAGCTGCCCTACAAATCTGTTCAGGAATGTATGTTAATAGAAGGAGCATGATTTAACTGCATTATCTGTAAGGCCTCACAACAAGTCTTATTCAATGAGTTATGGATGCTACAGAAACCTACCTGCCCCATGGGGTTACCTGCAAAGTGAACAACGCCTACGATTGCACCCAAACAAAATAAATACAACTCTAACATCCAATACGCTAGATTAAACTTGCACACCTCTGGCAGCAGTCTGATTGGTGGGGGATTGAATAAAAGCACAGGTTGAACTGCCAACAATTCACTAGTGCATCCATGGAAAGTGTTGAATTCCTTGGACTCACGGAAAATAAGTTCTGTCTTTCTATTCCTCTGAGAGGCCAAAACAACTACCTCCGGACGTCCCCAATGTTCTGTCATGATGGGAAAAATCTTCTGCACATATAGGGACCCCTTTTTTGATGCACCTGATGTCAACTAAGGAAATCTTCAGGTGCTTGGCTGGAAAGGAGGCTAGACTCATCTTTGTCCAGGATCGTAAACTTTCAGCCACCTTTTGTAAGGAAGGACTCCTAGTGCACCCCCTGCCTGTTGATGTAAGCAAATGTGGTGGCTCTGTCTGGCAAGATCTAGAGATGGTGGCCCTTCATTTCTTTTTGAAAAACTTTAAGGGCTCAACTGCACTTCACTCCCTCCAAATCTGAATCTGATGAACTGGCTTCCCTTTTGGGACTACTGACCTTATGCCACTTTTACTCCCAAATGAGGTCCACAGCCCCATGTACTGGCATCTGTGGTCAATCTTACAGAAATAGGCCAGGCCCAAATAAGACCTTTCCAAAAGATAAGAAGCTTCTCTTTTTCCCTTCCCCTATGGCCTGCCCCACTGCTTTTTTAGCCTGACTTTTGTCATCTTGACTATATCCTTGGGCCATGAAAAAACTTCTATTCGTTTCTTTTATCTGGAAAGGCTTTCTTTCTGTCCATGGTACATTCAACAACAACTTGAGCTCTGGACCAAAGAGTAATTTAGAAGTGAGACTCCAAGACCAGGTCTTTAGCCACAGAGTTTGGTGGGCAGAATTTATCAAAGCAGACGATCAAGCTGATGTCATCACTGATTTGGCTAAGGCATCTGCAATAAACCCAGCCGTGAACATAACATCTCAACAGTCAATGACTTCAAGAGACAACTTAAATTTGGACATTATAGAACAGTGATTGCCACGCGTATCATTTGCACTAGATGAATCAGGCTGCGCTGTCGTAGGATTACTACAATCTTCTGCCACAACCTTTTTTCTGCACAATATCTCCTAAAACATACAACACTGTGGCTGGCAAAAACTTAGAGACACTACTAAAGGCTGGAAATGAGCAACAGGGGCTTTACTGTCTGGAAGAAGAAACCCAAAGATAAGAAAGGTGGAAGCTAACTGCTTCTTCAGCAATGATAAGAGATGGCTGCAGGCAGTCACAGATACCTCCTTAAGCAATATATGAACTGCAAAAATGCCTAGACCAGGAAGAGTAACTTTGAGCTACAGACTGCACACTTCTAAGAAGCATTTCTAATAAGCTTTTCAAGGACGTTGGCCTGCAAAATACAGTAAATAAAACAGCTAAGCCCTTTCTTCCAGCCCCTATACACTGCTCCCCAGGCAAAAAGAGACCTATGGTGCACTGAAGCCTCTAGTGCCCTGTTATGAAGTCACCCCAAGGAGAAAGTCAGGAGAGCCCAAGATGGGTGCGGACGTGGAGATTTTAGAACATAGAAAAATCTTGAAAGTGATGGTACAGGCAGATCCTATCCAACGGATGAATCTTAAGGGCTGGAGAAAGTGGGAGTAGTCCATAAAACTGGCTGTTGGGGTAACTGGAAGGGTCTGCAGAAGTATGCAAGTCTCAGGAGGACATTCATTTTAATATTAGTTCTTCCAAACCTAGCAAACATGTCCTTACAAAATTTCTATAGGTCTAGCTTGAATGGTCAGAGTACCAGTTTGAAGGTTATGTCAGCTATTAAAATATATGTTGAAATATCAGCTGGAAGAAATGGAGAGGACTGGCTAAATTAATTGAGCAGGAGGCTATTGTTAACCAAATTTGCAAACACTACATTCAAAACAGTTAACAGATGGTACATTGTCCTATCACACACATAGCCCATTTTCAGCCATCTCATACTGGCCTGTGATTTCACAGCTGCCCGAACCCTGGCTATGTCTTGCATATCTGGTGGACATGTCCCATACTCACACAGTTTTGGTCCAAGGTCCTGTAACTCTTACCGTCACTCAACAATCCTTTTCCCAGGGATCCCTGGTATACTTTAAACCCCCAAATTTTGTAGAAATTAGATTTTCACTGAGAAGGTAGATATTGACCTATATTGGTAAAACACCATTCCATTCACTATGACTAGTCTACCATAGCTATTTAAAGGGTTTAAAAAGGCTCAAGGTTTTTTACCTTCATGCATTCTATGTATAGGAGTTTAAAGAAACCACCTCTCTGCAGCATCCCACCAAGCCCACCCTAGTACTCACTTAAGCTCCCTCTCTGTGAATGGACACATGGAGCAGTGGCTGGGAGTGTGCATGCTCGGGTGCCCCCATAGTAAGCTGCTTGCTGTGTGGGCACCCAACAGGAAGGAGATGCCAGGAGCGCTGGTGGGGGAAAAGACAAGAGGAGGATCAGGCCGCTCTGTGCAAAAGCACTGCACACAGCAGGTAAGTATAGACACTTTTTTTTTTTTTTTATTTAAGCCTTTAGAATCACTTTTAAATTTATTCTTGAAGATGTGAGGAGACCTATCTAGATATGAGAACACCAACTCCCTGGAATTATTAGGCAAGCAATAGGTAAACTCCAGCTGATAAGTTTTAGCACTCTATGGATAGATAAATGTATCTCCTGAATAAAATGCAGCCATGGCTGTCAACCACCGGGTCCCAGCCGGTGATCTCCGACGGGCGAGAAGAACTGATTTGGACGGCTGTGCACAGCACAGAAATCCAAAGCAGTGTGATTACAATGAGGCACACGGACACCGCCCCCTAGTAAAACACTCCCAGCACACAGTTAACCCTTTGATAGCCCCTTCCTGCCCAGTGCCATTAGTACAGTGTCAATGCTTTTTTTTTGGTTAGCACTGATCACTGTATTGGTGTCACTGACTCCAAGTCAGTTCCCCCCAGTGTCAGAATGCCAGCCGCAGTCCCGCTATAAATCGCTGATTTCCGGCATTACTAATAAAAATCCCAGTATATATACCATTTGTAAATGCTATAACTTTCATGTAAACCTATTCATTTACACGTATTGGGATTTTTTTATTTATTTTTTTTTTTTTAAGCAAAGCCATGCAGCAGAATAAATTTTAGCATAAATTGACTGTTTTTGGTCAGATAGAGTGCGTGGTGTGTTTAGAACGGCCAAGAGAATCTACCATTTCTCACCAGTGAACACCCATATAAATGTAGCCTAAATTGCCTCTCCCAAGGTCCTTAAAAGGAAAGCTGAAAAGAGCGGGTTCACTTGAAAGGTTTTTGCAGTCTTGGACCTCTGAATGCACCTGAACGGATGACAACATTGGTAGCAGCTGTGGGCTGACAATACAGTTTTAGAGTGGAGCAAACCACAACAATAAAAGTAGAGATCGCCTTAATTTGGTAATAGTAGCAGGGCACTGTGATTCCTTAGGTGTAGCAGTAGTCAAGGACTTGAGACTTCATGGCCATAGAGGCCACAGCCAGATCAGACAAGGATTCTACAGGGGAGGAAGTGGAGGCATACTTATGACCACTGCAATTAGAATCATTAAATAATGTGCCATTTTGCCCATAAAATCCTGCAACATTGAAGTGAAATCCTTCCAGGATAAAGCAGAGGAGGGGCCATGCCTGATGGAGCAAAGGAAGTCTCTGAGGATAGAAGGAATTCAATCAGAGGACAATAATCCAGGCTGCTGGTATCCGGTCCTTCAGACACTGCACCGCAGACTGCACTTGAATCATTACTGCACACAGAGCTAGAGGTACCTGTACAGCTGTTACCCATGTATTTGGCATGTTGTACTGCATTGTGGAAGCAATATAGCTCTGGACACAAGTTAGATCTTGAATACTCATGAAACCAGCATCTGGTAGCAGGAGAGATTTTGACAGCTAAAGGTGACCAAGTCACCGTAAGCAGGCAATAAATACCAACAAAGGAAGATCCAAGTGTCAGCTGCAGTCAAGAGCAACAGCACGAGGGTACATAATCAACAGTGACTACACAAAACAGTCCACCCAGTGGGTGACATCAGCACTCGGTCCTTCAGCAATCAATCAATTTTCACAGTAAATAATTGGAAAACAGACTGTAAAAGGCGCCCAGCAAACGAAGAAGTTAGTGAGCTACCAGTACTTGGTTCACGTGGTCTACATGCAAAGGGATCTTCAGAAATGGTCACAACTGAGACTGTGCCACAGCTCCGGAACCGTAAATCACTCTGTGGCTAACCAACCAATACACCAAGGTCTGGGAAACACAAAAAAAAAAAAAAATAGAGAACCTAACTAATGCTGCATGCACAACAGCTTTGGATGTGGCTGCACGTTCCCATCACTTCTAGCTCTAGGCGTTGGTGAGAAGAGCTGCAGCAGATGTATCAGGGACAGAATCACACTTACATTTCTTTTCTGTGAACTGGTGCAGCAAGCAGGATTTCCCCACTCCCATGTCACCTGCAAGAGAAAAGACCTGTTTACTGGAGAGATCACAGGCAAGGCAAGAGATAAACAATACACATCCCTGTAAATAATACATGAATTCTCTGCAGGTCACAATAACCGTAATTACACCATCTTATCCAGCCAGCAGTTTCCAGGCTGTGTGCATGTCGCCCGTTACCAAAAAGTGCAGAAGATGGTCCTCCATTATAACTGCAGAAAAGAATGTTTAATGACTTGCCTGTAAAATCCTTTCCTTTCATTACAGTACACATGCTCCTTTAAGTCTTAACCATTTACATGCAGCTACTTTCAGGTGACTGGACACCAACAGAATTGTGGGACAACCCATATAACCCCAGTCGCCCTGGACAACCTTCAGTTTTGGGTCCTGTACTATACTTAAAGAAATGGATTTTACAGGCAAGTCAAACATTCTTAATTGTATATTACAGGACACTGGCTTCTTTACGCTTTAACCATGGGATGTCCCCAAGCAATACAAGTGAAGGGCAGGTAACACAGCAAACAATGCCAACAGGCCCACATTCAATTGTTCCCAGGTCCCAAGCATCCACCTGGTAAAAACGTCACAAATGTGGGAACTGAATGCCAAGTCGTGGCCTTGCAATGTGAGAAACGGTTTCCCGGGTACTGAAAAGCCCAATAGGGACTGCTTGACCCAAATAAGCCCCAACAGGAAAGAGGGAAACCCATGTCCTTTATAGTGGTTTTTAAAGCTTAAAGTGGTTGTAAAGGCTCAAGGTTTTTTACATTCATGCATTCTATACATGAAGATAAACCTTTTGTGTGCAGCATCCCCCCAGCCCCCTCAATACTTATCTGAGCCCCATCAAGATCCAGCGATGTGCACTTCAGCCTCGGCTGTCGGGGTCTCATTGGCTCCCACTGCTGTCAATCACAGACAGTCAGCCAATGAGGGGAGAGGGGGGGGCAGGGCCAAGCCGCTGCTTAGTGCCTGAATGGATACATGGAGCAGCGGATGCCCCCATAGCAGCTGTGGCGTGCGTTCCATGGGCCAGACGTGATGTCAGCAGAAATTGCTTCATCAAACCTCGACACATTTCGATCAAAGATAGTCTTCAGGAAGTGCAAAATCCACCATATTGCTAGTGGTATTTATACCCATCAGCCGGATGTCATTTGTTTTGTGCACAACCACAATATTGCTGAGTACATTCGGTGTTACATATTAATGGGCTTCATACAATCTTGACTTAAATACCATTACCATGGCACAACAATTTTTATTACAACCTAAAAAAAAAAATGTATGCTAATATAATCCTTCCATCTGCCCTATTGGGTGTGCCCCCTAAAGGGGAAACCGCTAATTACTGCACTCGATATACTATGTGTATATCTATCTACCTCTCTCAATACTAAAGATCCACATGGAATTAAATGTAGAATACTTAGCATGTAAAATGTAAAAAAAAAAACAGATACACTAAACCTAAAAAAAGGATTACAATATATGTAATTAAAATTATTAGTTTTTCTGTAAAAAATGACTACATGATCAAAAGGGGAATGTGCTACTATAACTGACAAATCTCAATCTATTTCTATGGGCAGCACAGTGGCTAAATGGTTAGCACTTCCACCTGGCAGTACTAGGATCGTTGGTTCGAATCCCAACCACGGCACCACCTGCCTGGAGTTTGCACGCTCTCCCTGTGCCTGCGTGAGTTACCTCCGGGTACTCCAGTTCCCGCTCCCACACTCCAAAGACATGCTGGTAGATTAATTGGATCCTGTCTAAATTGGCCCAAGTAGTATGTGTATTGTATGAATGTAAGTTGGGGACCTTAGATTGTACGCCTCTTGAGGGGTTAAGGGACTGATGTGAAATGTACTTCCGCCTGGCAACTAGGATTATCCCATATCTCCCTGTGCCTGCGTGGGTTATATCATATATATATTATATATTGGCCCTAGTATGTGTATATATATAAGTATAGATATATGATGTGAATAAATATATATATATATATATATATTTATTATGATGTGAATGTACAATATATATGTAAAGCGCTGCGTAAATTTACGGCACTATATAAGTACCTGAAATAAAAAAAATTCTATTAAACCCGTCCGGTGTTAAAGTTTGGAGCTCATATATCCACTTGGTCTGAGTGTTTCAAAAACTGCTAATCTACTGGGATTTTCACGCACAACCATCTCTAAGGTTTACAGAGATTGGTCCAAAAAAGAAAAAAATATCTAGTGAGTGGCAGTTGTGTGAACGAACATGACTTGTTGATATCAGAGGAGAATGGGCAGACTGGTTCGAAATGATAGCAAGGCAACAGTAACTCAAATTACCACTAGTTACAAAAGGGTATGCAGAATACCATCTCTGAACGCACAGTACGTCAAACCTTGAAGCAGATGGGCTACAGTAGCAGAAGATCACACTTCTAAGAACACCACATAGCTAAGAACAGGAAACAGAGGTTACAATTTGCACAGGCTCACCAAAACTGAATAGAAGATTAGAAAAATGTTGTCTGATCTAATGAGTGATCTGAACTAATGAGTGTCAATTACTGCTGCGACATTCACATGGTACAGTCAGAATATGGCATAAACATGAAAGCATGGATCCATCCTGCCTTGTATCAATGGTTCAAGCTGGTGGTGTAATGGTGTGGGGGCCATTTTCTAGGCACGCTTTCGGCCCCTTAGTACCAACTGAGCATCATTTAAACGCCACAGCCTACCTGAGTATTGTTGCTGACCATGTCCATCCCTTTATGACTAGTGTACCCATCCTCTGATAACTAATTCCAGCAGAATAATGTACCATATCACAAAGCTCAGATCATCTCAAACTGGTTTTTTGAACATGACAATGACCTCACTGTACTCCAATGGCCTCCACAGTCACCAGATCTCAATCCAATAGAGCACCTTTGGGATGTGGTGGAATGGGAGATTCACATCATGGATGAGCAGCCGACAACTCTGCAGCACCTGCGTGATGCCATCATGTCAATATGGACCAAAATCTCTCTGGAGGAATGTTTCCAACACCTTGTTTAATATGTACCACAAAGCCTGGTACTAGCAAGGTGTACCTTATAAAGTGGCCGGTGAATCACACACACACACACCAAAAGCAATAGGATGCCTGCCTTTACACGCACATGAACTTTAATGGAGTCTTAGTCCGTAGGGTTCAATATGGAGTTGGCCCACCTTTTGCACCTAGAACAGCTTCAACTTTTCTAAGATGGCTGTCCACAAGGTTTAGGAGTGTGTCTTTGGGAATGTTTGACAATTCTTCCAGAAGAGCATTTGTGAGGTCAGGCACTGATGTCAGAGAAGAATGCCTGGCTCCCAGTCTCCGCTCTAATACATCTCAAAGGTGTTCTATTAGGTTGAGGTCCGGATTGTGCAGGCCAGTCAAGTTCCTCCACCCCAAACTCGCTCATCCATGTCTTTTTGGACCTTGCTTAGTGCACTGGAGCTCAGTCATGTTGGAACAGGAAGGGGCCATCCCCAAACTGTTCCCACAAAGTTGGGAGCATGAAATTGTCCAAAATGTCTTGGTATGCTGACACCTGAAGAGTTCCCTTCACTGGAACTAAGGGGCCAAGCCCAACCCCTGAAAAACAAACCCAAACAATAATCCCCTCTCCACCAAACTTTACACTTGGCACAATGCAGTCAGGCAAGTACCATTTTCCTGGCAACTGACAAACCCAGACACGTCCATCGGATTTGCCAGACAGAGAAGCATGATTCTTCACTCAAGAGAACATGGCTCCACTGCTCTAGAGCCCAGTGGCGGAGTGCTTTACAACACTGCATCCAACGCTTTGCATTGCACTTGGTGATGTAAGGCTTGGATGCAGCTGCTCGGCCATGGATACCCATTCCATGAAGCTTTCTATGCACAGTTGTGCTAATCTGAAGGCCACATGAGGTTTAGAGGTCTTTAGCCATGGACTTTGTAAAAAGTTGTAAACTTCTGCACACGTGCTTCAGTATGCTCTGACCCTGCTCAGTCATTTTACATAGCCTACCACTTCGTGGCTGAGTTGCTGTTTTTCCCAGTTGCTTCCACTTTGTTATAATACCACTAACAATTGACCGTTGAATATTCAGTAGCAGGGAAATTTCACGCATGGACTGATTGCACAGGTGTATCACATAGTATATTGAATGCAGTAATTCCCCTTTAGGGGAGCAGACCCAGTAAGGCAGATAGAGGGATTATTTTAGCAAGTATTTTTTAAGGTTGATTGTAATAAAAATTGTTGTGCCATGGTAATGGTAAATTCATAGCTGGACTTATTGGTGGCAAGCTATCATGGTACCACGCTTGAATTCACCAAGCTCCTGAGAGCGACCCATTCTTTCACAAATGTTTAGAGAAGCAGTCTGCATGCCTAGGTGCTTGATATTATACACCTGTGGCCATAAAGCTGATTGGAATACCTGACTCCAATGATTTGGAGGGGTGTCCCAAAACGTTTGGCAATATAATATATATGTATCTATATTTCTATATAACTATATCTATATTACACACACATGAAACATTGAATATATTTTTTTCAGCAGGAAGATGCATGCATTTATTTGGTCATGCATCCTTGACAATCATTATCACTGTTTTTACTAGAGTCCATTTAAGTGGACAGATTTTTAAATTTCATGAAACTATTGAATCACAGTATCATAACTTCATAATATTGTTCTACAGTGCATTCATAAATTATTCAGGCCCCCTTTACTTTTTCATTTTGTTATGTTGCAGCCTGATACTACTTTTATTAAAATTCATTTTTAACTCATTAATCTACACTCAGTACTCCATAATGACAAGGTGAAAAGAATTTTAATTTAATTTCTGCAAAATGTATGAAAAAGGAATAACTGAAATAATCACATTGGCTTAAGTATTCAGGCCATTTACAATAACACTTGAAATTCATCTCAGGTGCCTCTCATTTCTCTTGATCATTGATTGGCATCTACCTGTGGTAAAGTAATTGACTGGACACAATTTGGAAAGGCGCACACCTCTCTAGAAAAGGCCTCACAGCTATAAAGCATTCTGGTTTCAGAGCAAAAGCCATGAGGTCAATGGAACTGCCTGCAAGGCTCAGAGACAGGATTATTGAAAGGAAAAGATATGGGGAAGGTACAAAAATATTTCTGCTGCACTGGAGGTTCTTGCTGAAAGAAAGCCATAAGAAGTCCCGTTTGCAAGAAGCCATATGGGGGACACAGCAAACATGTAGAAGAAGGTGTTCTGGTCAGATGAGACCAAAATTGAACTTTTTGGCCTAAAAGAAAAACACTGTGTGGTGGAAAACTAACACTGCACATCACTCTTAACACACCATCCCCACCGTGAAACATTGTGGCAGCATCATGTTGTGGGGATGCTTTTCTTCAGCAGGGACAGAGAAGCTGGTCAGAGTTGAAGGGAAAATGGATGGAATCAAATACAGGGCATTTTGAAAACCAATTATTGTTTTCTTCCACTTCACAATTAAGTGCCACTTTGGTCTATTACATAAAATCCCAACAAGACATTTATGTTTTTGGGTGTAATATGACAAAATGTGGAAATTTCAAGGCGTATGAATACTTTTTCAAGGCACTGTATTTTATGAGTTCATTACAAACCTCTCAAACTTCAAATGGGTATTTTACAATCCACTGCTAAATGCTCATCCTCGCAGGGCAACCTTATTCACCTCCTATGGCACTGCCCAAAGCTACATCACAACTGGGCAGATGTTGTGACCATTAACACGGTCTTTCAAATTGTTTCTGTTGAACCCACCCGGTACATTTTGGGAATACTAGATGACCTCCCACTAACGGATTTCCAGAAAGTGGCTATTAATAGAGCTTTGTTTCATGCCCAACGTCTCATTTTCCAGCAGTGGAAATCGGACAGGGCTTCAACTCAAAGAATGGGCAGCACACATGGGAGATACTCTTAGGCTGGAAAGAAAATTATCTTTCAACATAGGGGCTGCCCAAATAAATGTAACAAATTATATGAGAATTGGTTTGCAGTTCCGGGTCTTACACCTACCAACTTAGTACTTGACAGGCTTTTGATATGAGCTTGACACTCCCCTAATGGGGGGGGGGGGGGGGGGAGGTGAGAATAGATCAGATCCTGCTTTAGAAGTTACTACATGGTTGGTTTTAGGATGCTTGCCCTCAGTATTTGATACTTGTCTCTAGCTTGGTGTAATTTTCTGATTACATTGTTGGAAATGTGAATTGTCAAGGATATACTGTGTCTATAGAGCTGTAATAGCACCTTGGATCATTATCCTTGTCATTTGTAAAGGCTGTACCTCAAACTCTGTTCCTGATTGCTAAAAAAAAAAAAAAAAAAAAAAAAAAAAAAAAAAAAAAAAATGTGGAAAAGTAAAAAGGTGGGGTAGTTTGGTGATCTTGTTATAATAAAGGATGGGAAAAAAAAACCACAACAAAAAAATGCTTTTTCTTTCTTCAACTTGTATATAATGTCCCTTCAGTGGGTACCATGTATCAAAACTCTGAAATGAGGATTGATCCTACAGCAGGCAGATTCAAACGGTCCCTGAAAATTGACAGCTGGAGAATGGAAGACAGTTCTTATAACAGACATTGCAACCTGCTCTGCTACCTGAATTGTTATGCTGTGGCTCCCATCATAAAACCCCCTCCAGTACAGAAGAGGTTAAGCCTCTGTAAAGGACTGAAGCACCATCCCATGAATTTCTCCAATGACTTCTACTCAGTTCCCTACAAAGTTACAATACTGCAGTTTGATCAACTTACCAATGATGATGTATTTGAAGATATAGGAGTAATTGTAAGGTGCAGTGGCCATGATGGCGCTGTGGAAAAGAGGAAAAAAAAAAAAACATTAACAGGCAGTAGGAGCATCCACCCATCTGTGGAGACAGATGCTAGTACCAGACAGAACAAGCCATATACAAGAAGCCAATTTTTACCAAAGCTAGGCTGAATAACAGAACACAGATGCTTCTAAACCATTCCACCCAACTCACAGATAGACTCTCAGCTCAATAACTTCCACAAGAAAGTTGGAGGCTGTGTAACTATGAGCACTTATCTGAAATCAGATGTTCAGGGAAGTGCTGCCTTTTTGCACTGACCAGCCATAACATTAGGACCACTGACAGGTCAAGTGAATAAAATTGATTATCTGGTTACAATGGAAGAAGGTGGCCTGGTCAGATGAATTCAAGAATGGTTTGAGGAACACAACAAGTCATAATGTTGTGGTTATGGCCGATTGGTGTATATCTATTTAGCTGTACAAGTATCTCTCTTTTATAATATTCTGTGCCCATTCCAGAACAGGCAAGGCTGTGGATAGTACAATGTTTGAAGTATTTTAGTGGGTAAGATGTGCAGGAAAGGAGTGAAGAGTATGAGAGCAGACAGTATGTGCAGGCAAGAATTCTGAAGAGTATGACAGCACATAGAATGTACAGGAGAGTAGTGAGGAGTTTGTATGGAAGGTATGACAGCGGGCAGTATTTACAGAAAAGGAGTGTGGTGGGTATAACTATGGGCGGTATGTAAAGAAGGTTTAACAATGGGCAGTATGTACAGGAGTGTGGAGAGCATGACAGTTGAGGCCAAACACATTTTGCATGCATGAAAATATATACAGAATCAATGTGCATGGGTCACGTCAGGCACAGTGTTTGGTCATTGCTTGAGGGAGACACATAGCTCTTGTTTATGATGTACATGCGGCCCCAGCACCCCCTTTATGATCTGTCATTCATGGAAAAAAACTTTTATAAGGCAAGACCACAATTCCATCTAAAATGAAGGCCAGCTGCAGCATTTTATCTATATTTTGCTATTAAATTTCCTAATGCCAATGCTTTACCACCATTTAAATCTCCCCAGTTAACGTATTAAATCTACTAACAAAATTGAAACCGAAGAGAAAACAAATTCCATTTTACTTTCTGCATTCTTCTTCTATAATAATTATTAAAAACTAAATGTTCAAATCCTTGCATAAGCCCAACCACAACTGGTTCTCTTTAAAGTCACTCATGAAAAAGCAATGTTGATTGATTGCCAGTGTGTGAGATATTTTACAAGGTGTTCCTATAGCTTAATTCTCAACAAGAAACACAAAGGTTTCACTGCTCTGCCAAAGCCAACTGCCCAACTACAGGCAGATGTTATATAAAATGTTGAAGGGGGTTCAGCTAAAAGTGATAGCATGAAAAACTTCATTCTGCAGGATGTCAAATCTTAATCATAAAATGGATCAAGGGAGTGAACTGGTGGGAGCCTACAGATATTAAAACAAAAAAAAAAAAAAAAAAAAAACACCTTTATAAAATGATTGTAAAGGTTTTTATGTTATACCGACCTGCTTACCAGCAGCCGACCATCCTCTTCTTACGTCCCCTGTCATCATTCCTATAACCATCCCCCACCCCAGACAGCCCCCGCCCGCTGTATGCCCCCATAGCTTATTTGCTATGGAGGCACATGTGCAAGCTCACTCCCAAGCCCTGCATGTCTAAAAGACACACACAGCATGGCTCGGCCCTGCCCCCTCCTCACTGGCTGTGGTTGACAGTAGCAGGAGCCAATGGCTCTCTGCTGTGTCTGAGCCATTGAGGAAGGAGAGAGCCAAGAGAGCCTTTGCTCTCCTGCACATCGCTGGATCGAGAACGGGTCAGGTAAGCATGGGGTGGGTGACAGCACACTGACGGGAGTCACTTTGGGTGGGGGGCCCATGGAACACTGCTCACTTTGGAGAGATGGGGAGACCCCTATCTCAACTCCCCATATCCCTCTTATGTGTAAGTCACCCTGTGCCTGTTAGAGGTACAGGGTGATCTGTGCTAATATTGGGGTGGGGGTTGTTGATTGTTTAATGCCATGTGGCTGCATCCCATTGTTCTGTTGTCCAGCAGCCCTCTCTCCTGATGGGACTATCTGTTGGTGTGAAGTTTGAATACCTGTGTGTCTCTTGTTACTAAGTGTAGATTGTCCCACCCTGTGTCCGTATGCAGGGAGGGGGGATTTTCCCGAGTGTAAAAAAAGCCAGTTTGAGTTTCAAATAAAGAGTTCCATATACAGACTGGTGTTGTCTAGTCTTGTATGGTCGGCTGTGGTGTCTGTGGTCGGTGTTCGGACGGGAAAGCGGTATTATAATGGAAGCACCCAAGCGCAGACTAGGTCGGTTCTGTTACACACATTGAAGGCTTTTTACCTTAAAGTGGTTGTAAACCCTCACATATACCAGTGAAATGACTGGCCTCAGGATATAAAAAAGGTCTGATCTCTGTATCTACAACCATCCTATAGCAGATGTACAAGCAACAGAGAGAAATGACACTTCGTGCTTTGAATTGAGACAAAAATACACTATAGAGGGATAGGTTTTGTTCATATTTCATGTCTGAGGTTTACAACCACTTTATTGCAAAGTATGCATTAAGAGGTGGGAAAAAGAAAAAAAAAAAAAACCCTTCAGCCTTTAGAACCACTTTAAATTCACAGCATTCACTCCACTTTCTGAAAGTCGATATTAGAAAACGGCAGATCTATAGTTCTTCCTCAAACAATTATATAGGTATCCCTGTTAGTCACACGGAGATGGTTAAACTGGCAGTTCTGTTGCAGCTAAAAATATAGATCTATGCTGAACACAGTTGTACTTGCACTGTTACCTAAATAACATTTTTTCTTTAGATTTCTTCAAGAATGTCTTATGGCAAAAATGGCAGTATGTTGCAGATGGGGATGTTTGGACCACCTGCAAGAAGCCACTCCTTGAGTGTGGTTTAGTTTTTGGTTGCACCTAGCATCCTGCTTCTGTAGATGGTGAAATAAAACCCATCCTTCATGAAGGCTGGCTGAATCTTTCAATGAACAAAGAAAAAACAGGAATATCAGCAAACCTAACACCCATAGTCAGGCTCTCAGCTCCATCTCGACTCTCCAGTAGCAAGTCCATAATCAGGTTTCAGTCACTATTGTCATGTCATGAACTGGAGATCAAACTTTGACTAATATTTCGCTCCTCTGGTACTGGTTATCCCACTGGACAGACTTAACTCCCTCATTCTGCTATCTTGCAGGTTCTGGGACCTGTATAAACAAGTGGGCTCAAGGGGCAGAATGTGCAGGATGATAATCTGGGGAAAGGAGAAAAGGACAAAGGGAACACCAGAAGCACAATAGCAGTGGACAGCCTAAAAAATATTTGGAAGTTGTGGCAAATATGAAAATATGTGTAATTTTGTTTACTAGTTTTCTAATTGGAAATCCCTGTCAGACTGTACAGCAAGTATAGGTCCTCTTCTCTACAGTTGTTAATATACAACTTGGTCAGTTACCTCCCCTGCCTCAATGCTACAGCCTGAGATTGGATGACAGGTCAGTAATAAAGGTAACCTGTGCTCAATTCTTCTATCAACCAGATTCTTGCACACAGAGGATAGAATTTTTTTTTTTTTTTTTTTAAATCAGGGGTCCCCAAACCTTGTAAACAAAAGGGCCAGTTTATTGTTCTCCAGACTTTAGGGGGGCTGGACTGCGGCCAGGAGTGGATATTTTCCTGGCATCAGTGGGAAAAAACATTGCCACATTCAGCATTAGGGGGTAGTATTAGTGCCCCATCACTGGTATCTTTGGGAGGAATACTGCCCCATTATCGGTGTCAGTGGGAGAAATAGTGACCTATTTTGTTGGTATCTTATCATTGTAAGGAATAATGCCCCAAGGGCTGGATAAAAGGCACGCAAAGGGCCACATCCAGCCCCAGGGCCACAGTTTGGAGACCACTGTTTTAAATCTATAACCAAGAGAAACATACTAACTATTCTAGCCAATGCTGCAATAACTCTGTGATGATGTGTTCTGCACATTAATATTAACAAAAAAGGTGGAAAATGCTAGGCTACTAGACATACAAGAGAGAGATGAGATTACAGGGGTATACACTGGCATGTTTTTCTGAATTTCTGGAGTTAACAGTAGAATTCTATGTTTACTTTCACTTTATTAAATAGTTTGGGTCAAGCTGGCCCAAATAAACTATTTCTATACCGAAGCGACTGCTGTGTACGCTGTACTACATTGTAGTAGCATCAACTACATACAATGTATGGCACTGTGCTCCACAGCTATATAGGCAACTTCCTGTCTGCTGCAGAACTAAATAGAGATGGCCTGCATGCTTTTCAACCATTCAGGAGAAGCCTTGTATTTTTATCAATAAATACAGGGATTCCTCTGATTGTAGGGTAGGACAGCTTGCAGTATGTGTGGAAAAGATTTCCACCTCAGCCAGAGGACGCTTTATTTTGTTTGATAAAAATACAAGGCTTCCCGGCAATGGCTGAGAAGCATTCAGACTGATCTGATTTCATTCCAGAAGTACACAGGAAGATTCAGCCACTTCGGGCTCCTTTCTGTTCTGTGGACTGGGAGGAAAGGAGATCTCCTACACTACCATCTTGAGCCAGAACATTATGTCCTGCAACCTCTATATCCTCCAGTCAGATATAGAAGTAATCCACTAGCCTTTTCCTTCAGGGAAATGTGTGTAGCTGTAGTTCACTGTAACCATATGATGCCAAAAACCAACTTTGACCACTAGTGGTGCACTGAAATTAAAATTCTGGACCAAATCCGAAAATTCAGGATGCACTTGGCTGAAAATCAGAATGGACAGTTTTTGTTTTTTTTTTTTATTTTATATATATCTAGCAACGCGAAGACAAATTACCTTTTATATGATGTGTAGCAAAGACGATCAGCAGTCACAGGCGTCAATTGCAAGTCCCTGTAATTAAAAAAAAAAAAAAAAAGTTGGAC